CTCCACCCTCCCACACATCCTGATCTCTGTGCAGTGATCGTCTCTCCACCCTCCCACACATCCTGATCTCTGTGCAGTGATCGTCTCTCCACCCTCCATCCATCCTGATCTCTGTGCAGTGATCGTCTCTCCATCCTCCATCCATCCTGATCTCTGTGCAGTGATCGTCTCTCCATCCTCCATCCATCCTGATCTCTGTGCAGTGATCATCTCTCCATCCTCCATCCATCCTGATCTCTGTGCAGTGATCGTCTCTCCACCCTCCATCCATCCTGATCTCTGTGCAGTGATCGTCTCTCCATCCTCCATTCATCCTGATCTCTGTGCAGTGATCATCTCTCCATCCTCCATCCATCCTGATCTCTGTGCAGTGATCGTCTCTCCACCCTCCATCCATCCTGATCTCTGTGGAGTGATCATCTCTCCACCCTACCACACATCCTGATCTCTGTACAGTGATCGTCTCTCCATCCTCCATCCATCCTGATCTCTGTGCAGTGATTGTCTCTCCATCCTCCATCCATCCTGATCTCTGTGCAGTGATCATCTCTCCACCTCCCACACATCCTGATCTCTGTGCAGTGATTGTCTCTCCATCCTCCCTCCATCCTGATCTCTGTGCAGTGATCGTCTCTCCACCCTCCATCCATCCTGATCTCTGTGCAGTGATCGTCTCTCCATCCTCCATCCATCCTGATCTCTGTGCAGTGATTATCTCTCCATCCCCCATCCATCCTGATCTCTGTGCAGTGATCGTCTCTCCACCCTCCCACACATCCTGATCTCTGTGCAGTGATCGTCTCTCCACCCTCCCACACATCCTGATCTCTGTGCAGTGATTTTCTCTCCATCCTCCATCCATCCTGATCTCTGTGCAGTGATCGTCTCTCCACCCTCCATCCATCCTGATCTCTGTGCAGTGATTGTCTCTCCATCCTCCCACACATCCTGATCTCTGTGCAGTGATCGTCTCTCCATCCTCCATCCATCCTGATCTCTGTGCAGTGATTGTCTCTCCACCCTCCATCCATCCTGATCTCTGTGCAGTGATCGTCTCTCCACCCTCCATCCATCCTGATCTCTGTGCAGTGATCGTCTCTCCACCCTCCATCCATCCTGATCTCTGTGCAGTGATTGTCTCTCCATCCTCCATCCATCTTGATCTCTGTGCAGTGATCGTCTCTCCACCCTCCCACACATCCTGATCTCTGTGCAGTGATTGTCTCTCCACCCTCCATCCATCCTGATCTCTGTACAGTGATCGTCTCTCCATCCTCCATCCATCCTGATCACTGTGCAGTGATTGTCTCTCCACCCTCCATCCATCCTGATCTCTGTGCAGTGATCATCTCTCCACCCTCCATCCATCCTGATCTCTGTGCAGTGATTGTCTCTCCATCCTCCACACATCCTGATTTCTGTGCAGTGATCGTCTCTCCACCCTCCATCCATCCTGATCTCTGTGCAGTGATCGTCTCTCCACCCTCCCACACATCCTGATCTCTGTGCAGTGATTGTCTCTCCATCCCCCATCCATCTAGATCTCTGTGCAGTGATCGTCTCTCCACCCTCCCACACATCCTGATCTCTGTGCAGTGATCGTCTCTCCATCCTTCCACACATCCTGATCTCTGTGCAGTGATTGTCTCTCCACCCTCCCACACATCCTGATCTCTGTGCAGTGATTTTCTCTCCATCCTCCATCCATCCTGATCTCTGTGCAGTGATCGTCTCTCCATCCTCCATCGCATCCTGATCTCTGTGCAGTGATCATCTCTCCATCCTCCATCCATCCTGATCTCTGTGCAGTGATCGTCTCTCCATCCTCCATCGCATCCTGATCTCTGTGCATTGATCGTCTCTCCATCCTCCATCCATCCTGATCTCTGTGCAGTGATTGTCTCTCCACCCTCCCACACATCCTGATCTCTGTGCAGTGATCGTCTCTCCATCCTCCATCCATCCTGATCTCTGTGCAATGATCGTCTCTCCATCCTCCATCCATCCTGATCTCTGTGCAGTGATTGTCTCTCCATCCCCCATCCATCCTGATCTCTGTGCATTGATCGTCTCTCCATCCTCCATCCATCCTGATCTCTGTGCAGTGATCGTCTCTCTATCCTCCATCCATCCTGATCTCTGTGCAGTGATCGTCTCTCCATCCTCCATCCATCCTGATCTCTGTGTAGTGATCATCTCTCCACCCTCCACACATCCTGATCTCTGTGTAATGATCGTCTCTCCACCCTCCATCCATCCTGATCTCTGTGCAGTGATCGTCTCTCCACCCTCCCACACATCCTGATCTCTGTGCAGTGATTGTCTCTCCATCCTCCATCCATCCTGATCTCTGTGCAGTGATTGTCTCTCCATCCCCCATCCATCCTGATCTCTGTGCAGTGATCGTCTCTCCATCCTCCCACACATCCTGATCTCTGTGCAGTGATCGTCTCTCCATCCTCCATCCATCCTGATCTCTGTGCAGTGATCGTCCCTCCATCCTCCATCCATCCTGATCTCTGTGCAGTGATCGTCTCTCTACCCTCCATCCATCCTGATCTCTGTGCAGTGATCGTCTCTCCACCCTCCCACACATCCTGATCTCTGTGCAGTGATTGTCTCTCCACCCTCCATCCATCCTGATCTCTGTGCAGTCATTGTCTCTCCACCCTCCATCCATCCTGATCTCTGTGCAGTGATCGTCTCTCCACCCTCTATCCATCCTGATCTCTGTGCAGTCATTGTCTCTCCACCCTCCATCCATCCTGATCTCTGTGCAGTGATCGTCTCTCCACCCTCCATCCATCCTGATCTCTGTGCAGTGATTGTCTCTCCATCCTCCATCCATCCTGATCTCTGTGCAGTGATTGTCTCTCCATCCTCCATCCATCCTGATCTCTGTGCAGTGATTGTCTCTCCACCCTCCCACACATCCTGATCTCTGCGCAGTGATTTTCTCTCCATCCTCCATCGCATCCTGATCTCTGTGCAGTGATTGTCTCTCCACCCTCCATCCATCCTGATCTCTGTGCAGTGATTGTCTCTCCATCCTCCCACACATCCTGATCTCTGTGCAGTGATCGTCTCTCTATCCTCCATCCATCCTGATCTCTGTGCAGTGATCGTCTCTCCTTCCTCCATCCATCCTGATCTTTGTGCAGTGATTGTCTCTCCATCCCCCATCCATCCTGATCTCTGTGCAGTGATCGTCTCTCCATCCTCCCACACATCCTGATCTCTGTGCAATGATCGTCTCTCCATCCTCCATCCATCCTGATCTCTGTGCAGTGATCGTCTCTCCACCCTCCCACACCTCCTGATCTCTGTGCAGTGATCGTCTCTCCATCCTCCCTCCATCCTGATCTCTGTGCAGTGATCGTCTCTCCACCCTCCATCCATCCTGATCTCTGTGCAGTGATCGTCTCTCCATCCTCCATCCATCCTGATCTCTGTGCAGTGATCGTCTCTCCATCCTCCATCCATCCTGATCTCTGTGCAGTGATCGTCTCTCCACCCTCCATCCATCCTGATCTCTGTGCAGTGATCGTCTCTCCACCCTCCATCCATCCTGATCTCTGTGCAGTGATCGTCTCTCCACCCTCCATCCATCCTGATCTCTGTGCAGTGATCATCTCTCCACCCTCCATCCATCCTGATCTCTGTGCAGTGATCGTCTCTCCACCCTCCATCCATCCTGATCTCTGTGCAGTGATCGTCTCTCCACCCTCCATCCATCCTGATCTCTGTGCAGTGATCGTCTCTCCACCCTCCATCCATCCTGATCTCTGTGCAGTGATCGTCTCTCCACCCTCCATCCATCCTCATCTCTGTGCAGTGATCATCTCTCCACCCTCCATCCATCCTGATCTCTGTGCAGTGATCATCTCTCCACCCTCCATCCATCCTGATCTCTGTGCAGTGATCATCTCTCCATCCTCCATCCATCCTGATCTCTGTGCAGTGATCGTCTCTCCACCCTCCATCCATCCTGATCTCTGTGCAGTGATTGTCTCTCCATCCTCCATCCATCCTGATCTCTGTGTAGTGATCGTCTCTCCACCCTCCATCCATCCTGATCTCTGTGCAGTGATCGTCTCTCCACCCTCCCACACATCCTGATCTCTGTGCAGTGATCGTCTCTCCATCCTCCATCCATCCTGATCTCTGTGCAGTGATCGTCTCTCCATCCTCACACAGATCCTTATATCACAGCTCACAGCCATATTCACACACCTGAGCCCAAACTCGCAATGACTCTCATGGTGTCTGCGTGCTTGGGAAATACCTGGGTTTCTAAATTGAAACTTTCCCAAGTATGAAAATGATAACATTTGATCTTCGGATGTGTTTTGTATACTCAATGAGATATTTCAGGGATTTTTTTGACACACAAATCTTCAAGCAGTATCCGGTATTGTCCTAAAGTCCATACTTTAGCATGTATTTTCTTTTTTGTATTCACTTTTTAATTGTTATCAGTATGGTGCTGTTTAGAGGAGTTACAGTTTTAATGTGATGAGTGCATTTTCCTGCACAATGTCACTCCTTTCTTCACTCTCCCAGTTTTCCTTCCCATCCCAACCTACAAGTTGTATAGTTCATTTTCAACATAGTGTCTAGTGAGTATCACTAAGCATTTTCATCAAAGGAAAATAAAATTGTGCTTGGAATTTCAAACAGGAGAATGACAAATCACAAACCATTGAATTGCAGTTGTTAATTTTTATGGCTTGTTATGATGAAAAGTGTTTCTATGAGTTAAACTTAAGGATATGAAAGCAGGTAACAGGAAGCATTTCAGTCCGGTTGGCTTACACTTTAAGGGTCTTGTGTGAGTCCACAGAGCAATGTGGCCCTGGGATTCTGTGCAGGGAAACCAGCTGTCCTGATTGCTGGCTCAGCAACGTCTGGGCCGCCTCCAGGTCAGGCATGCAGTATCGTGTGAACTCTTGTGCACAGACCCATGGAAGCTATGCAGCCTCTGGGGAGACTCATGGGCCTCAGGCCATGGTCTTATCCCGGGTGTGGAAAGATGTAGGCCCCTCCTGGGGCCTCTGTAGCATCTTGTTTCTTCCTGCCAGCCTCTCAGCCCACTCCACGCGGAGCCTGTACACAGGGTGACAAGTTTGCTGTGTGAGTCAGCGTCTCTAGTCCTACCAACAGCCAGCTCTACATCTCTCAGCACCTTGGCACGAGGGCACCCAGGCTCTCTCACTGAGGAGCTGCTGCATCCCACCCGGCTTGCGACCCGGCTTGGTCCGGCCGGCAGCCCTGAGACCTCTCTACTGTGCTTCTGATCTGGGCCAAGCAGAGGGCCCACTCAGGACCCTCTCGGCCTCAGGCCATCCCCCTGGAATTTTCTGGGCCCTAGAGAAGCTGTGCAGTGCCTGCATTCTGGCTGTGTTTACTGTTTACCTTGCAGATAACCCATGTTCACTACATAGGAATAATGTTGCACAGTTTGGACACAGACGCTCCCTTATGGGAGGCCACCGTCCCAACCTTGCACCCTGATGATGTTGTATGATGGCCAAGGCTCCATACGTGTGTGACCTTGGGGCAAATGGCCTGGCCAAGGCAGCGCCCAGGCCCTAATGCAGTTGACCAGGGCTGCTGCCGTAGGCTCTGAGTGTGTCATTTGGTCCCGGACCTTGGAAGCTGAAGACCACCTCCAGCCAAGTTTCTGAGGTTGCTGGGCAAACTGACAAGACATGCTCACCAGATACTGGCCCCAGATTTCCGGGGACCTAAATGGAGAGACAGCTCTGGCCATAGGTGGCAGAGGTCCAGGCATCTGGGCCCCTGGGGACAGCTGCAAGAGTGACCTTGTAGTTCTTCCTTCGCAGGCTCCAGCCACTGCTCACCAGGCCCCCGGCCGCCTGGATGTGTGCAGGGCACCCAGGAAGGCCTGTGGGGCTTGAAGACATGGGGGCTGATACGCTCCGGAAGACACGGCGTTTTCTGCTGCTCTGCCCTGGAGGCTCTGGCCTTCTGGCCCAGCTTCACTCCCAGCACTGCCCAGGCCCTTGGTGCTCATCAGAGCCCCTCCACAGTGAGGAGGGCATGACCCCCCATCAGCGTGAGGGTCCCTGTGTGTCCTGGTGTCATCTGTCCCCACGCCTGTCACTTCCCTGCACTGTTCTAGGGGAGGAAGATTCCATGTCTCAATAAGAGTCTGCCTCGTAGGAGTGGCCACTGTCACTCAACATGACTCTGCTTCCCTCATCGTCTGTGGTGAGGACACTGTCCGGGGTGGGCAGGGGCTCTGCAAAGGAGGGCTTCAGTGGTCTGAGAGGACCGTCACCTGCATGGGCCTCTTCCTAGCAGGCAGGAAAGAAGTGGGGGCATGAAGTCACCCTTGAACCTGCATCCCTGGAGAGACGGAGCACGCCAGTGCTCAGGGCACACATAGGGGCAGGTATGCTCCGCAGGCACCCGTAGGCTCACGCAGGCTCTGCAGGTGCACGAGGCACGCCCAGGCACGCCCAGGCACGCCCAGGCACACCCAGGCACACCCAGGCACGCACAGGCACGCACACAGGCCTGCACACCCAGGCATGCACAGACACGCACAGGCACGCACAGGCATGCACACAGGCATGCACACAGGTATGCACACCCAGGCACGCACAGGCACGCAAGGCACGCACAGGCACGCACAGGCATGCACAGGCATGCACACAGGCATGCACACAGGCATGCACACCCAGGCACGCACAGGCACACCCAGGCACACCCAGGCACGCACACAGGCATGCACACAGGCATGCACACCCAGGCATGCACAGACACGCACAGGCACGCACAGGCATGCACACAGGCATGCACACAGGCATGCACACCCAGGCACGCACAGGCACGCAAGGCACGCACAGGCACGCAAGGCACGCACAGGCACGCACAGGCATGCACAGACATGCACAGGCACGCACAGGCATGCACACAGGCATGCACACAGGTATGCACACCCAGGCACGCACAGACATGCACAGGCACGCACAGGCATGAACACAGGCATGCACACAGGTATGCACACCCAGGCACGCACAGGCATGCAAGGCACGCCCAGGCACGCCCAGGCACACCCAGGCACACCCAGGCACGCACACAGGCATGCACACAGGTATGCACACCCAGGCATGCACAGACACGCACAGGCACGCACAGGCATGCACACAGGTATGCACACCCAGGCACGCACAGGCACGCAAGGCACGCACACAGGCATGCACACAGGCATGCACACCCAGGCATGCACAGACACGCACAGGCACGCCCAGGCACACCCAGGCACACCCAGGCACGCACACAGGCATGCACACAGGCATGCACAGACACGCACAGGCACGCACAGGCATGCACACAGGCATGCACACAGGTATGCACACCCAGGCACGCACAGGCACACACAGGCATGCCAGGCACGCACAGGCACGCACAGGCACGCACAGTCACGCACAGGCACGCACAGGCGTGCACACAGGCATGCACACAGGTATGCACACCCAGGCACGCACAGGATGCATACAGGCATGCACACAGGTATGCACACCCAGGCATGCACAGATACGCACAGGCACGCAAGACACGCAAGCACGCACAGGCATGCACATAGGCATGCACACAGGCACGCAAGGCACGCACAGGCATGCACACAGGCATGCACACAGGCACACACAGGCACGCACAGGCACGCACACAGGTATGCACACAGGCATGCACACAGGCATGCACACAGGCACTCAAACAGGCACGCACACAGGCACGCACAGGCATGCACACAGGCATTCACAGGCATGCACACAGGCATGCACACAGGCATGCATACAGGTATAAACACCCAGGCACGCACAGGCATACATAGACATGCACACAGGCATGCACACAGGCATGCACACTCAGGCACACACAGGCATGCACAGGCACGCACAGGCATGCACAGGCACGCACAGGCATGCACAGGCACACACAGGCATGCACAGGCATGCACATAGGTATGCACACCCAGCACACACAGGCACACACAGGCACACACAGGCACGCACACATGTATGCACACATGTATGCACACCCAGCACACACAGGCACACACAGGCTCGTGCAGTCACACCCAGGTGCACACCAGAGGACAAGACAGGAACTGGACATGGAGAAGGAGGCAGTCTTCATAGAGAGCATTTGAAGTGAGAACCTTCTATCCCATATCTGTTTAGCTTGCTGCATGCTGCACTCTGTGCTGGGGTTCTCAAATGTGAGGTTAGGGGTGCTGGTGGGTAGAGCTCATGGGGCTGCTCAGGACACTCCTGTGGCGGCTATCTGGACGACGGCCGGGGACAGGTGAGGGAGGTTCAGGGGGACCGAGCATGGACCAAGCAGCCTCACCCCCCCAATGGCAAAGTCAAGGTCGGTATCAAAGTCAAGACTGGCATCAAGAATGGCTTCGGGTGGCTGCCAGGGATCTGCATTTCTATTCTGGCGCTGGGAGGCAGCTGCTGAAGTTATTGGGGATTAAGGCCTAGTCCTGGGAGTTTCTGGCTATTTTGGTGTTGGTGCCTTAGTGTAAATGATGTGCTAATCTGCAGCTCTGGTGTCCTCCCACAGCAGCTTCTCCTGGGTCTGGTTAGACCCCCAAGAGCACTCCTCCCTGCCCAGGACTCCACCTTGATCCAGGAGGATCTGCTGCACAAAAACCCTCCTGAGGGGAAGGCAGGCTCAGGGTGAGAGTACGTGAGGTGCAGGACAAAGGCAGACGTTTGCTCTTGAAAACTCCCTGCAAGGCCCTCAAACACTAGGACAAGGGCAAACGAAGGGGTGAAGTAAGGGAGGAGAGTGGATCCGAGGAGGAGGGGGAAGGGTGGAGGGTATGGGGTGAGGAGGTGAGGGTACGGGGTGAGGAGGTGGGGGTATGGGGCGAGGAGGTGGGGGTACGGGGCGAGGAGGTGGGGGTACGGGGTGAGGAGGTGGGGGTACGGGGTGAGGAGGTGGGGGTACGGGTGAGGAGGTGGGGGTACGGGTGAGGAGGTGGGGGGTGAGGAGGTGGGGGTACGGGTGAGGAGGTGGGGGTACGGGTGAGGAGGTGGGGGTACGGGTGAGGAGGTGGGGGTACGGGGTGAGGAGGTGGGGGTACGGGTGAGGAGGTGGGGGTACAGGTGAGGAGGTGGGGGGTGAGGAGGTGGGGGTACGGGTGAGGAGGTGGGGGTACGGGTGAGGAGGTGGGCGGTGAGGAGGTGGGGGTATGGGGTGAGGAGGTGGGGGGTGAGGAGATTGGGGTACGGGGTGAGGAGGTGGGGGTATGGGGTGAGGAGGTGGGGGGTGAGGAGATTGGGGTACGGGGTGAGGAGGTGGGGGTATGGGGTGAGGAGGTACGGGGTGAGGAGGTGGGGGTACGGGGTGAGGAGATGGGGGTACGGGGTGAGGAGGTGGGGGGTGAGGAGGTGGGGTACGGGTGAGGAGGTGGGAGGTGAGGTGGGGGGTGAGGAGGTGGGGGGTGAGGAGGTGGGGGTACGGGGTGAGGAGGTGGGGGGTGAGGAGGTGGGGGTACAGGTGAGGAGGTGGGGGTACGGGGTGAGGAGGTGGGGGTACGGGTGAGGAGGTGAGGGGTGAGGAGGTGGGGGTACAGGTGAGGAGGTGGGGGTACGGGGTGAGGAGGTGGGGGGTGAGGTGGGGGGTGAGGAGGTGGGGTTACGGGTGAGGAGGTGGGGGTACGGGGTCAGGAGGTGGGGGGTGAAGAGGTGGGGGTATGGGGTGAGGAGGTGGGGGTACGGGTGAGGAGGTGGGGGTACGGGTGAGGAGGTGGGGGGTGAGGAGGTGGGGGTACAGGGTGAGGAGGTGGGGGGTGAGGAGGTGGGGGGTGAGGAGGTACGGTGCGAGGAGGTGGGGGTACGGGTGAGGAGGTGGGGGGTGAGGAGGTGGGGGTACGGGTGAGGAGGTGGGGGTACGGGTGAGGAGGTGGGTGTACGGGGTGAGGAGGTGGGGGTACGGGTGAGGAGGTGGGGGTACGGGTGAGGAGGTGGGGGGTGAGGAGGTGGGGGTACGGGTGAGGAGGTGGGGGTACGGGTGAGGAGGTGGGGGGTGAGGAGGTGGGGGGTGAGGAGGTGGGGGTACGGGTGAGGAGGTGGGGGTACGGGGCGAGGAGGTGGTGTGGGGCAAGGAGGAGGCAGTCATGCCACCCGGTGGGCCTGTGTGGGGTTGTGCATGCTCTTTCCTGAGCATGCGCATTGTTGTCTGCCCCGTGAGCATGGGTAATGTCTTTCCCAGTCCTTGCTGGCACTGAGCCCCTCGGAGGACCTGAGGGCTCAGGGCGGGCCTGGGCTGGGTGCTGTGGGGAGGCTTGCCTCTAGGGAGCTGGGCCGGCCCAGCGGGCCGCCGTCTGGGGCTTGCTGTCTGGGCGCACTCACCTGCTCAGGGCGCTGCCTCGGACCCTCAGGTCCTCCCTCTGCACTTGCTTTTCATGATGCTCAATTTTTTTCTCCCAAAACATCTTTATTCCGCCTGTGTCACAGGCTACTCTTCCAGGATACTTCAATGAGTCATTCATTTTCTGGAAAAGAAAAGTTTGCAAGCACTCAGCCCTTGAGAGCTGCTTCTGGTGGGTGGAGGCTGGGCTTCCTGGCAGGTGTGTGTGTGTGTGGGGGCTCAGACCCCACTTCCCAGCATGGTGGAAGAAAGGCATGCCGTCTCCGAGGGTCACCACCCGTCTGTGCCCGGGCACAGGGCCCCAGGCTGAAGTAGGTGGTGCTGGCAAATCCTAGGTTTGGCTTGTGGCAATTTTAAAATACTCATAGTGATGGGCTTCCGCTAGATGCAATGGTTCACACTGTAACCCAGCTACTCCAGAGGCAGTGACCAGGCATACTGCAGTTCAAACACAGTCTAGGTAAAAAGTTAGCAACCATGCACTTCCAGATGACTTCCTTTGTGCTAGTGGTTACAGCGACGAGGACTTATTTTTTGGAACAAAGGTGAATTGCAGCAGTGCTGTGGTCAGGGCTGAATTGCGTCCTGCAGAGTCTTGGGTTGGAGTTGACCCCAGAACCTTGGAACATGCCTGCGTCTGGAGGTTGCTGGTGGTCCCCATGCTGTGGCCCAGGTGTCCTGGCATCAATGGGAGTCCTGATGCAGACACACTGAAGGAAGCCAGGGGAGGAGGCAGGACACACTGCCCGCCAGCCAAGGAGGACACAGGGACACAGGTCAACCAGACAAGTCCAGGGAGAAAGCAAAGCATGCTGTGCTCCCTTGGCCCTCAGCCCCACCGGCGCTCACAGGCAGACGCCCTGGAGACACGCTGTGTCTGCTTGCTGGGCTTGCCCGCGGTCTTGCACACTCATGACCTGGGAGGATGCTGCTGCCGCCCTGTGCCACCTCCTCCAAGACTCAACGTGCTGCTGACTCTCATCTTTCCAGAAGAATTTCAGTGTGTGGGGCAGCAGGAAAGGTCATTATTCCTCTATGACTCCAACCAGACAGATTCTCATCAACAGTTATACAAGGGGGAACCCTGAGCCAGGCCCAGCTGGCCTCGGAGTCCAGCGCTGTGGACTCACTCTTAGGGCCGTAGCCTCTGTAAACCCCAGAGTTCATCAAACCCTTCAGAACATCCTGTCGAGCCCAAGTCTGTCCCGAGCTGTCTGTCTTGGTGCTGGGTCCCTGCTGCCCTGGGCCGTGGTGGGAAGGCTGCAGGCAGGCCAGCACACTTCTGGCCCAGGGCCCTGCGCTGCGGCAGCCTGTGGCTTTGCTCTCACGGGGTGGATTAGGCTCAGGATGTAGGGAGAATGTAGCCCAGGGCTGGAGCACAGACTGAGGCAGCAGGAAGTGCCACCATGTCTAGAAAAGCTTCTCCGCGAGGAGGTAGTGCACATGTTCTGTGAACTAACAGCTGTGTTACTGGCGTGGGAAGCGCGGCTGGCAGCCCCTTGCCCCTGGCCAGCGGTGCGGCAGCGTGGACCTCAGAGCCCCTCCCGGCCCAGCAGCTCCTGGGGCTGTGGGCACTGCTGCCTTTCCCATTCCTACTGCAGTGCCCGGCGCTACTGGGGAGGCCCCTGCCAGAGCCAGTTCAGAGGAGGAGCCAAAGCTCTGGCTGCCGACTGGCTTCTCTGTCTATGAAGAGTGATCTTTGCTGTTTTCTGTTCTGTTTCTGGCGTTTCTGCAAAGCAGTGATAGGTGAGAGTTGCAGGAGCCGTGCTGGAGCTGCACCCTTCGTGCTTTTTTCCCTGGGCAAGTGGGAGGGCCGCTGGTTCAGACGCCTCCCGCATGGGCTGCTTCATGCAGCAGAACAAGTTGGAAGATAACTCACTGACGGTGTCAAAGCCGGGGGTGACGTATGTGGGGCCCTGGGCGTGATCCCCCAAGCTGCCAAAGATGGTAGAAGTGGGGTGCTGAGGAAGGCCTGGGTGACCCCGGCTCATGGTCCAGGGAGCACTGTTCTGGTGAAGCTCACACGGGAGGCTTTAAGCAGCAAGCACACACATGGACAAACCGCTCCGCAACCCCTGCTCAGCTGAACACGTGCTGCCAGTAAGTTAAATGAACACCTTCAACCAGATGGGAGGGTGGGACACCCTCAAACCAGGACTGTAGCTGCTCCCAAGGAGTCCAGCTTTGGCGGTGAAACTGGGGTGAGCCAGAGCTGTACCCTCATGGCTGCACTTGGAGACATCTGAGAGCCGAGGCGAGACATTGTGCAGGAGCAGCAGAGCTTTTATTCTCAGAAGTGTGGCCCCCAGAGGAGTAGAAACACAGACAGACAGACAGACAGACAGACAGATGGAAAACCAGTAGAGGGCAGAGAATGAACACATCACCCCCATCCTCACCAGTGCTGAGAGGCAGATTCCCACCTGAGGCTCTGTCTTTGGAAAGCCGAAAAGGAAAGTTAAAGACAAAGCCCTCAGCAAAATGCAAGTGAGGTAAACTCGCTCAGACATGGTGCCCAATTCCTCATCTACTGTGTTTACAGATGTGGTTGAACTCAGAGACAGTCCCCTGGGCAAGGATGAGGCTCACCGTTCGAATCTTTTCCCTGCCCCTCCGCAGGTCCTTCTCTGATGTCCGAGCGGCTTCTCTGGGTGGCTCCTGGGCGCATGCCTGGCTCCCATCTTTTATAGAGATTGGTGGCACTGGCTCCTGGCCCAGCGAATCTCAGGGAGGATGAGCTGTGCCCATCTGGCTGTGCCCTCTGGAGCAATCTGGCTCTGGTACGTGGCTGTGGGCGACACAGAGATCTGGATGGCAGCATGGTGAGATTGTGTTACTGGTGGCTGACAAAAATGTCTTTCTTTGATGGGCTGCTCCGAGAGCCTCCAGGTTGGGACCAAGCCAAAGGACACCAGCCACGAGACAGCAGCAGAGGGTGCTTTGCCCGCCAGACAAGTGTGTCTAGTCACAGGCCTGAACCTCGGCCTTTGGTAGGCTATGAAATACGTGTTACAAACAGCAGCAGAGGACACTGGGGCGGGTCAGGTGGCATCCATGCCCTGCTCCATGTCCTGCCCTGCTGCTAGCCCAGAGCCGACCCAGGGCTGCCAGTCACCCACGTGGGGCTTGCCTTTGTGCTTGTCCCAGGGCTTGAACTTAGGGCCTGGCTGCTATCCCTGAGCTTTTGCATTCACGGCTAGCACTCTACCACTTGAACAATAGTTCTTCTGGCTTTTTTTTGTGGTTAATTGTAGATGAGTCTCACAGACTTTCCTGCCCCGGCTGGCTTTGAACGTGCTCCTCTGATCTCAGCCTCCTGAGTAGCTAGGATGACAGGTGTGAGCCCCTGGTGCCTGCAATGTCACAGTTCTTTAAAGACAGATTCCCCTCTCTAGAATGTGTCTGGTATCACCTGGGCGCTGTTGTGGCGACCCTGGGAGACCACAGAAGAGGAATGACTGGAAATGGACAAGAGTGCCTTGGCTCTCACGAGTCCCTCTGGGACTTGGTCAATCGAGTGCTGGGCTCCACCGCTCCGCCCCTCTGCTCTGGTGGCCCCCAGCATTCCTGCGCAAACGCTGGCTTGCACACACGGCAGCGGTGCTGGTGCTCACAGGACCCAGCTCGGGCCCAGGTGTCCCTCCACTAGCTCCATTTTCAGATTCTGGAATCTGTTGCTGTCCAGCTGGCAGGTCCAGGCTGAGCAGCTGCCCACGCCACAGCATGGACTCAGGCCCAGAGGGGGGGTTTAACTGCCCAGCCCTCTGTGGACTTCTGGTAGCCACTCATGTGTGCAAACTGGCTCACAGGGCCCCTGGCTGCATGTTTTTTTTTTTTGGGTCCGGTCGTGGGGCCTGAACTCTGGGCCTGGGCGCTGTCCCTCAGCTCTTCAGCTCAAGGCTAGCGCTCCACCACCTGAACCACAGCGCCACTTCCAGGTTTTGGGATAAATTGGAGTTAAGAGTCTCACAGACTGTCCTGCCCGGGCTGGCTTTGAACGTGCTCCTCTGATCTCAGCCTCCTGAGTAGCCAGGGTTATAGACATGAGCCACCTGTGCCTGGACAATTCTCAAATTTTAAAAACGAATTAATGAGCGAGTGAAGGGCAGGCTGTGCTGACGAGGTTCAGCTGTGCCGCGGTGGAAGCAGGGGCACCCGCAGGGGAATCCGGTTCAGCTGCGCAGCCTTTTGCATTTTGTTGGATGGTGTCTCCTGTTCCCTCAGCCATTTTGTGTTGGGAGGACGCTCGCTTCAGTCTGCACAGGGCTTGCCCACAGCAGCCCCGTCAGGCCGAGACACCTTGGTCTGAAAGCTCTGAGCTCCGCAGGCCTGAGCCTCCTGAGAGTGCAGGGCCTGCTGTGAGCTCAGGTTTAGGCCACTGGCTTTGGAGCCAGGCCCATTTCCAACATCTTCCTGTAGAAAGGCCTTAAACCACAACGTGGACTAGGGTTTTCTGTCTTCAACCCAGTGTGAGGTCTCCTTTTCTCTCCTTAGAAGCACCACTCACAGCCCCCAAATATGACCAGAGTTCCAGCTCAGACTCTGCACCCGACAGGAGGACAGGAGGACAGGAGGACAGGAGGACAGGAGGACGGGGACAGGAAGACAGGAGGACAGGAGGACAGGAGAACAGGAGGACAGGAGGACAGGAGGACAGGAGGACAGGAAGACAGGAGGACAGGAGGACAGGAGGACAGGAGGACAGGAGGACAGGAGGACAGGAGGTCAGGGACAGGAATACAGGAGGACAGGAGGACAGGGAGGACAGGGAGGACAGAAGGACGGGGACAGGAGAACAGGAGGACAGGAGGACAGAGTGGACAATAGGAAGGGAGGACAGGAGGACAGGAGGACAGGAGGACAGGAGGACAGGGACAGGAAGACAGGAGGACAGGAGGACAGGGAGGACAGGGAGGACAGGAGGACAGGGAGGACAGGAGGACAGGGAGGACAGGAGGACAGGAGGACAGGAGGACAGGGAGGACAGGGAGGACAGGAGGACAGGAGGACGGGGAGAGGAAGACAGGAGGACAGGAGGACAGGAGGACAGGAAGACAGGAGGACAGGAGGACAGGAGGACAGGGAGGACAGGGAGGACAGGAGGACAGGGAGGACAGGGAGGACAGGAGGACAGGGAGGACAGGAGGACAGGGAAGACAGGAGGACAGGAGGACAGGAGGACAGGGAGGACAGGGAGGACAGGAGGACAGGAGGACAGGAGGAGGACGGGGAGAGGAAGACAGGAGGACAGGAGGACAGGAGGACAGGAAGACAGGAGGACAGGAGGACAGGAGGACAGGGAGGACAGGGAGGACAGGAGGACAGGGAGGACAGGAGGACAGGAGGACAGGAGGACAGGAGGACGGGGAGAGGAAGACAGGAGGACAGGAGGACAGGAAGACAGGAGGACAGGAGGACAGGAGGACAGAGTGGACAATAGGAAGGGAGGACAGGAGGACAGGAGGACGGGGAGAGGAAGACAGGAGGACAGGAGGACAGGAGAACAGGAGGACAGGAAGACAGGAGGACAGGAGGACAGGAGGACAGGAGGACAGGACAGGAGTACATTAGGACAGGAGGACAGGCTGGCAGCTACAGCAGCACCGAGTCTGGGCTTAGAAGGACCCACATGTCTGTCTGATCAGAGCCTCTCTTCCTCAC